GAGATGGGGTCTCACTCTTGCTCAGGCTGGTCTCCAACTCTTGACCTCAAGTGATCTTCCTACTCAGCCTCCAAGAATGCTAAGATTAAGTCTCCTTCATTCTTATTTAATATTGTGAATTACTGGATGTGTATATATATGAAAGCACACAGAAAACATATATACAGTTTATGAATTATAATAAAAGGAATAACCATGTGCCCATTTCCCTGCTTAAGAAACAAAGCCAGTTCTAGAGGCTGGGAAGTCCAAGATCAAGCTTCCATCCATTTGATTTTGGGAGAGGGATCTCTTCCTGGCTTGCAAATGGCCACCTTCTCATTATGTCTTTACCTGGCCTTTATTTGGTGCTGTATTCAAGGAAGGTGGGGGGAAAAGCACCATTGTCCAGGTGTCTCATCCTATAAAGATACTAATTCCATTGTCAGGGCCCCACCTTTATGCCTCATTTAACCTTAATTAATTTCTCAAAAGGCTACATCTCCAAATACAGCCATAGTAGGGGTTAGGGCTTCAACATATGAGATTAGGGGGCCTTAGGAAAACATTTAGTCTATAACAGTATCCTTAAGCATATATTCAAATTTTAAAAACTAAGTAGCAAATTTGGATGCAACTGATACGGACAATATTGTCAGTAGTGAATGAAGACTTCCAAGAAAAGATAAGCTGAGCACAGAGTCCAGCTTCAGCTCCCTTGAATGCACAAGGCCCAATCAGTAGGTGAGATCAAAAGCCATCAGATTCACAACATCTGGCAGGGTTTCTGTGGGAAGGTCCACAAGAGGTAGAGTGGGAGGGAATAGGCCACCCATAATTTCCTGTTGTATGATCACCAAAGCTCCCCTTCAGCTCTCAGGAGGTAAAGCAAAATGTTTCTGTAGGGTGCAAGGAAAGGCCTCAGCAGGCCCAGACTGGGAGCATGATAGAGAGTGCAACAGTTCATTGGCCACAGTCAGACAGGCCCAGGCCCTTGTTCTCCAGGTATTCAGTACTTGGAGGTCTAATGGAGAGGGGGGTCTTAGTGTATCTATCTCTCCACCTCTGGTGTGCAGCTACCATCCTGGGATCTCCCTGCCCCACTTCTCACAGGTTCCATCACCACACTTCTCTACTGGATCTTCTGTTTCCTAAAACAAGTCCTCTTCTTTCTTGGCAAATTTAATCATGTTTTAAAGAGCACAGTTTCCACTACCTCCTTATAAATGGGTACATGTAAGAAAGATTTGTGTACCTTTCATCTGGAAATGTCATTATTGGACCTGTACACTTGATTAATAATTGCTTAGCAAGTTCTAAGTTGAAGATAATTTTCCTTCAGAATTATGGGAACATTGCTCCATTGCTTTCACATTACAATGCAGTGGCATCATCATAGCTCACTGCACCCTCAAACTCCTGGGTTGAAGTGATCCTCCTGCCTCAGACTCCTGAGGCATGTACTACCACACAAGAGTAATGTTTCTATTTTTTTTTTTTTGTAGAGATGGGGTCTCACTCTTGCTCAGGCTGTTAATAGCAATCTTCTCTGTAACCTAGTGTTATATGCATCTGTTTTCTTATTTTTTCTGTCATTTCAGTCTTCCTGTCAGGAGGTGAAAATAAGTCTGCTAAACATACCATCTTGATATAGAAATCCTTTAATTTTTAAAAAAGCATTAAATTGTCTATTTTTCTAATATAGATTTATCAAAGGAGGAAGAACATTTGAAAGTACAATTAACTCTGGAGAATACTGAAAGACAGAAAGAGAAAAAGGTAGATCAAGAAAAGGCCATTTTAATGAATGAACAAGAACTACCACCAAAAAGAATTCAAGTAATTGATCCTGAAACAGAAAGCAATCAGGAAGATACAGCAAAAGAAAAAATTAAAAGAAGTGTACAAATAAATGATGTGAATGAGACACCCGATAAATATGCTGTTCCATGTGTCAAAACACCCTTCAGACAAAGAAAGCATTATTCATTCACAACAACAATTGAAAACTTGCACCATGGGCTCCCTACTTCAGGTGTGCCAGCCAACACAGGCAACACAAGGGTCAGTAACAATACAAGCAAACATCGCAGTCAAACAGAAGATATGAAGCAAGAACATTCTGTTAGCGGGTATGAACCATCTTTTAGTAAGTCTTCCAGAATCAAAGCAAAAGATACAACTTTCAGAGATAAGAAAAGCAGTCTAATGGAAGAACTCTTTGGATCAGGCTATGTCTTAAAAAACAACCAATCAAGTCCTGTTGTTATGAAAAGATCTGATCAGACTTTGAAAAGTAAGGAAACGCACCATCTACCTCCTAGTCGAGCCTCCGCCAGCAATGCTTTTGGAGATTCTAAAGTAACCGTGGTAAATTCTATTAAGTCATCTTCACCTACAGAAGGAAAAAGAAAAATAATTATTTAAAAATATCCTAATACTGGGTGGCACCTTTGGCTCAAAGTGGGGCGCCGGCCCCATATGCCAGAGGCGATGGGTTCAAACCCAGCCCGGCCAAAAACAGCAAAAAAAAAAAAATCCTAATACATTCTGGTTTGATACTGCTTCTTATGTGCCTTTAATATTTCTTTGAAATGTGTGAGAAGGATATATATGTGTGTGTGTGAGTGTGTTTTCATACTTAAACTACTTTGGATAATTAAGGATTTTATTACCAATCTGATTTTTAAAATCCATTTTATATTGGCCAATGATAACACTTTAAATACAAATTTACGTTTTTTTCTGTAAGTGACAGATGTCCATTATCTTTTAGAAGGCTGATTTATTTTATGACTTTAGTATTCTATGGGGCTTCATAGCTAGTAACTCTAAATTAGTCAACCAAGACATCTCACACATATAAACCTTATATCAGCATTAGAGTTGTGTTGTAACTTAAAAACATGGAAACAACTTTGAAAAGGAACCATATGGTCAAAAGACTCTCTTAATTTTTAAAAAAAAGTACCATGACTACTGAGCTTGATTCTATGAAAACCATTTTGGGGATTCTCTTGTTCAGCTAAACCCCTCATCTAATTTCCCTCCCTTGCTGGTGCCGCTTTCCTCACACACACCTAACATTCAGTATTATTTATTGAGATGTGTTGCATACCTATACTTTGACCATTTTTCTGTTAATCTTGTTCTAAAATAATAAAGCATGTCAGTGTAATTAAGTGTTTCCTCAAGCTAGCTTCTCAGTCCTAATTAATATATTACTAAACTTAGAATATATATCTTTTCTTGGAGACAGTCTCACTGAGTTGCCCCGGGGTTGAGTGCTGTGACATTATGGCTCACGGCAACCTCAAACTCTTGAGCTCAAGTGATCCTTCTTGGATCCTCCCAAGTAGCGAACACTACAGGTGCCTGCTACAACACCAGGCTATTTTTAGAGATGGGGTCTCACTCTTACTCAGGCTGGTCTCAAACTCCTAAGCTCAAGCAATCTGCCCACCTCAGCCTTCCAGAGTGCTAGGATTACAGGTGTGAGCCACCAAGCTTGGCCTTTAAACTTGAAATATTTTTAATTAGGACTATAAAAAGAGAGTTGTACTCTCACCTATCTTTATTTAACTTACTTTCATTTAGTTATAGGAGCAACTTATTTATAATCTACTACACTATTTCCAAAGATGTTTACAGGTTGGTGTAAATATTAACACACTTTTAAAAATTAAGAAGAGGCTGGGTGCAGTGGCTCACACCTGTAATCCACTCACTCTAGGGAGGCCAAGGTGGGTGGATTTCTTGAGCTCATGAGTTCAAGACCAACCTGAGCAAAAGCTAGACCCCATCTGTACTAAAAATAGAAAAACTGGGGCAAGAGATCACTTGAGCCCAAGAGTTGGAGGTTGCTGTGAGCTTTGACACCATGGTACTCTACCCAGGGCAACAGCTTGAGATTCTGTTTCAAAAAAATTAAGAAGAGTAAAATTAAAATTTTAAAAGGAGTAAAAGTCATGGTGAGAAAATAATTGTTTTTTTGAGAAAGAGTTTTACTTTGTCACCCTTAGTAGAGTACTGTGGTATCATAGCTCACAGCAACCTCAAACTCTTGGGCTTAAGGGATTCTCTTGCCTCAGGGTCCTAAGAAGCTGGGACTACAGGCACCCACCACACCAGCTATTTTTTAAAGAGAGGGTCTTACTCTGGCTCAGGCTAGTCTCAAACCTGTGAGCTCTGGCAATGCAACTGCCTCAGCTTCCCAGAGTGCTAGGACTGGATTACAGACGTCAGCCACCGTGCCCAGCCCATAACTACAAGTATTATTCCAACTATCCATATCATGCTTGTAAATCAGCTGGTCAGCCAGTGTGCACTAAGTGAAGTAGGAACCCAGGGAGATAGGGTATCAAAGCTCTGAAGTCAGCTTTTGCCTAAAGGGCATTTGCCAACAGTGAAGAACTGAGCGCCAGAAAAAAACTCCAAAGGGGGCCAGCGCGGTGGCTCATGCCTATAATCCTGGCATTCAGGGAGGCAGAGGTGGGTAGATTGCCTGAACTAACGGGTTTGAGACCAGCCCGAGCTGGAATGAGACCTTGTTTCTAAAAATAGCCAGGCATCATGGCAGGCACTTGTAGTCCCAACTACTCAAGAGGCTGAGGCAAGAGAATCACTTAAGCCCAAGAGTTTGAGGTTGCTGTGAGCTGTGATGCCAAAGAGTACCAAGTAAGACTCTGTCTCACAAAAAAAAAAAAAAAACTCCAAGGGCAAAACCCAGTCAGCCCAAGCCCAAGTAGGGAGGTCGGACACCTGTAGAGCCTCCAGCTTGAGCTAAAACTGTGAGACTCTGTTGCCATAGTCAGCCTTCATCCTGTAGGACAGCCTGAAACTACATTACTTAAATGGCCTATATAACCTACAGTAAAGGTCCAAGCTGGTAGTACCCAAGCCAGCAGAAATGTAATCCTCTCTGAGGGAGTCTATCTTTAACTAGAAGAAATCTTTAACCAGATTTCTTTAACCTTCAAGAAATCTCCACAGGTGAGTTTTTAAACTTTTT